GGGCAACCCATGCCTCCTATTCGCTCCAGCTCCGTGGCCGCTGCCGTCTTGGTTGGGTTTATTTGCATACTCACTCCTGATTGGCTGGTGGGCGTGGCTTGTGGGTGTTGCTGAGGTAGTCAATTTGCATGTTTCTCTTTTATTAGGTAAGATACCTTATGTAAGTGGGATCATGCAGTATTTGTCTTTCTGTAACTAGCTTATTTCACTTAGCATAATGTCCTCAAGTCTGTCTTTTAATTGGACTCATTAGTCTATTGACGTTTACTGTTGTAATCAGTGAAAATATTTGATTCACAGCTATCATCTTAATTCATGCTTATTTTGTAATTTTAATTTCCTTTTTCTTTCTTCTTTTAAAATGATTTGTCCTTCTGTTTTTTCCCTACTTGTTTGTTTTGAAGTTACATACTGTTTCTATTTTTAATGTATACATGTATACACATGTATAGATGTATGGATGGATATTGATATATACACACACATCCATACAAATAAAGATCACTTAAATATTAGGTATTCTTAAGGACTAGAGTTCATTTCCTTTTTGGCTAACACGAGTTCCTCCTGCTACCACTTTGCTAGGAGCATTTTTAAGCCTGGGTTATTTTAAGACTTATATTTATTAATTCCATTAATTAAGTGTAAAGCCTCGAGTGCTTCTCAGTAGCTGTTCCCTTTCCTATATACTTTTAAGTATTTACAGTAAAGGAAAAAATGGCAGCTTGGCAACTGTTTAAACTTTATACACACATATCTATTTTAGAATGGGCTGGCAGGAGGGGTTTTCTCTTTACTCTATTACTTTAATCTCACTTAATGAGGATGTTTAACATATACAATAGGTCTTTTTTAAAAAGCCATAATGTTGGCAGTTCCCCAAACTGCTCCAGGGTGCCCAAAACTCAGAGGTGCTGTGGGATATTTCAAATGTTTGAGGAAAACACAGACAAACCTTACATATCAGACACTAACAAACCACTATTTTGATGTAATTGAGAATACAACATTACATCATATTATATCCCTTTTGACTACCACCTTTATGAAGCCAGATTTTGGGCAGTTCCTATGATTAAAAAAATAAAGTACCACATGAAAACTAATGCGAAACAGGAATGCAGGTGGTTGTATCAATCCATTTCCAGGGTTTGAAAAGGACTACAATACCCAACAAGAGCACACATCTCATTAGTCAATAACCACAATTATTTAACAATGAAATAAAAATATTTTCTCTTTCAGTTTACTTTTTTTCTAAATATCTACTAGGTTGTTAGGCCATAAATACGTATTAATCAGAGCATAACTGCTTAAGACTAAACTGTTTTCCGTTTGGTCAAGGGGCACTGTGAAAATATCATTAAGATGCCAAGGGCAATGTTAACAAAGAATATGGTAATATCTCCCATAGTGGCAAGAATAGTAAAAAAACAAACAAACAACTTTGAAGGCTAGTATTTGATTCCACGAATTACCCAGCTTGTAAGCCTGTGGCAAGTCACTTATTTTTCTTTAATGTTCCTCAGTGGCAAAATAGGGACAATGCCATTCTGAATATGTTACAGAATTGTTGTAAGGACTACTGGAGGCTAAAAATGAAACTTCTGTAAGTTGTAATGCATTATATTTACTCAGCCTGAAGGGAAAAAGTCTTATAAATGTTCACAGAGAAAAATCAAATGATCAGGGTTCATAAATTATTAGAAAAATAGGATCTCACCTTTCTGAGATTTCCTCTAATAACTCCATAAGTTTAGCAGCCAAACCAAGGCGTCGAAATTCTGGGGCAACAGACAGAGCTGTGACATGCCCATGCCATTCTTCCCTAGCAACTGAGCCTTCTGCTTTACCCATAACTGCCAACAAAAGATTGCATTCATTAATAAACACAGGGGTTTACACATAAATATAGAATTACTGTTTGATACATTTTTATTATAAAGGAAGCTAACGACAAACCTTTAGTATTTAAATCTTAAAGTCATCTACTTAATGGTTAATAGTGCTTTTATCTGAATTTCATTTATGTCATGCTAAATCTAGTTGTAGAATCAGAATTAGAAAGTTTTTTTTAAAGGAATGATATACTAAAAACATAACTAATTTTGAACACAGAATCAGAATATGTATTTTTAAAAATATATTTCACATAGGTATATGTGTGGGTATGTGTACATGTATACATAACTGAGACAATCAATAGCTAAGTTTTTGTTAATAATGCTACTCAATGAAGATGCTATAATCCTTATATTATGTACCAAATAAACTATGTAGAAACTTAACATACATATAGTTTGAAAGATCCGAGAAGACTGAGACCCTGTTTGGTTGGTTCACTGCTGTAACAGCTGGACCTAGCACAATGCCTAATGTAGAAGGGATCACTGAGTTTCTAATGGTTAAAAGGAAAGAAATTATAGACATTGTGATTATACTTTCAATTCTTTATCATTCTAAACCAGTTTAAACCCATATTAAAATCTTAACTCCTATTCAAAACAGTACTGGTGGCATTATACTTACTATAGCCCATTAACTCTCCACCAGGTGCCTCTGCAACAATGAAATACTCTGGCCAATGGGCAAGATACTGTAAATAAAAAGGAATCCCATACTAGAGTCTTGTTAAGGAGTGTGAAGAACGATGGGCAGTAACAAGTTCTTCATAAAAGGGATAAAGAAAGTTCCCCTTAATAAGTATGTTGTTGCTGTATCCCCAGCTCTATATATGTATGTTTTCTATAATCATATCATTACAGGAAATATTTAGGTTAGCACTAATTTTTTAACAATGTACCTGAACATACAACCTCAAATGTGAATGGAAACTGCACCATCCAACAGAAAACTGAACTAGGACTCATTGTATCTAAAACTCTGCATAGCACTTAGCCTCACCGGATATTCTTATTTGTTTACAATCTGTCTCCCCTTAAAACTATGAGTAATGTTTACTCTATCTCTGGCACTTCGTACATAGATGCTCAGTATGTTTATTTTTCCATAATTGCACTGGAAAATTAATGACTACTTTAGCTTCAGCTAAAAGACTGTGAAAGTAACTTTAAGACGAAGTACTTTCTAGTTGTTTTTTATTTGGTAAATTATGAACTGGTGTAAATTTATACAGTTCAGGTGTATCAATTGTGGCAGAGGTGTACAGATTTCTATATTTTTAGATGAGAAATTTCTCTATAATAAACTGTTTCTTATCTTAGAAAACAAAAACTAAGTACTTCCAGAGGCAACTTAACAATTACCCAGTTTTCCCTTCCACTGATTTAAATTCTCCATTTCTAGTTATGCAAATAAAAGCTGACTTAAGAGTGAGTGCTCATTACTTAACTCTTCAACCCTGCTGTCCTTACTAATACGTACTCATTCCTATATTTCTCCTTAATGTCAGCTTGCTGATGCAATTCCATGAAGGGACATCATCGATCATATATATATATTTTTAAGTTCCTGGAAAACCTGTTTAGTAAATTCTTCAAACTCTCCTCTGAAGGACAAGCTTTATTTTCAATACTCTTCAAACTTAACCCCTAAAATGACAGGCCAGTCAGTCTTCCTACCATGCAGCCTTAAAGCACACCATAATTGTCTCCTCCAATGTGCCAACTCATCAACCACTAGGAGCTGGTAGGTTCCTTTCAAATATGGCTTCACCTGGATTATGAGACTTTTACTGTAAACTTTACAGGTAACTGGAAACAAACCATGTAAGTTGATATGAATCCTAATACTTCCCTTATTTTATGGTGAAAATTTGTGTCATTCAAAATTCTTCAAAATCCTTTTACTATTTTTAAACATGGAAAGATCTTTAATAGGTCATAGTTTTTAAAATATAAATGAAAACTTCAGAGTTTCTTTTTTTGGTTTTCCCACTCAACTGTTTTTGATACGTAGCCCATTAAAACTAAAAATAGTAAAACTACCTACCATTAGTTTTCACTGCATGATAGTGTTCCACTGTTGTGAAAAGACAATTTAAATATACTATCTCTTGACAGTGGATGTCTGTGTTGTTCCCACTTTCTCAAACTTTTTAAAATACTTTATGAATAGAGATTAATTTATTTGGTCATTTCCTTATCATTGTGAATGAATGTTATCCCCAATTTTTAATAACCAATAAATATTTTTGTAATGACATAACTAAGGAGTTAACAAACATTTTCTGTAAAGGGCCAGATAGTAAATATTCTAGGCTGTGTGGTCCATATGGTCTCTGTTGCAACTACTCAAACTGTGAAGGCCATGGAAAAGACCATATATAATAGAAAATTACTCAGCATATCTGTGTCCCAGTAAAACTATTTATAAAAACAGGCAGTGTGCAAACTTGGCTCTTGCACCTTAGTTCGTCATGCCCTGACATAATCGCCTCTGTTGCTTATTATTTTCTGCTCCTAGGAACTGGAATTACTAAGAATTACATTGCCACCCTACCCGGTTTGGCTCAATGGATAGAGCATCGGCCTGTGGACTGAAGGGTCCCGGGTTTGATTCGGGCCAAGGGCACATGCCAGGATTGAGGGCTTGATCCCCAGTGTGGGGCATGCAGGAGGCAGCCAGTCAATGATTCTCTCTCATCATTGCTGTTTCTCTCCCTTCCTCTCTGAAATCAATAAAATAAAATAAATTACATTGCCAAAGTGACTTCCAAAAAATTATTGCAGTTTATGCCATCACTAGCAATCTATGAGAATGTTCCTGTAACCTCTCCCTCATCAGCACTGAGTTTTACCTTTTTTTTTTTTAATTCTAGATATTTTGATAAGTAAAACATCACATTTTATTTTGGTTGTAATTCACATGTCTTCTGACTGGTAAGACTGAACTAATATGTTCACTAGCCTCTTATATTGAATTATCAGTTAATATGACCCACCCGCCCCCCCCCACCCTGCAATGGACATGGATAGCCCAGAAATCCAACTTTGTGTTTTTAAGCCACTCGGGATGTGGGGGTTGTCTGTTAGTGCAACATGATCCAGATAGATACTGCTCATTGTTACCCCAAATCCTCTCTTCAGTTTAGTAATAAGCCCCAATTTAAAGTAGGCACATTCTGGGACTCTTACAGCTACGTAAGTGAGGCAGGTGCTGATCAACGAGATACAGCGAACAATATTTTTACCTTCCCCTCTGTTGATCCTCCTGCCAGGAACATGGATGTGATGCTGTCTGCTCTGGCAGCCATGAAATAGGAAGGCCAAAGCCACCCTGGGAATGGCAGAGTGGTTCAAGTGCAGAGCCTGGTCACTGGTGACTACATGGAACCACCACCTGCCCTAGACTGCTCATCATTTCCAGACTTCATTCAGAACACACAGGAATAACCCATCTTGCCGAACTCACTACTTTCTGTTGTGTACACCCATACTATTGAGGGGAAGCTGGGCAGGTAGCTGTATTGTTAAAGATTTATGAGGTCACTATATTAGCAACTTGTTAGGCAGGTTTAAGACAAATCTTCTTCCCAGTTTATTTAAATTGCTTTCAATGTTGTTTATGATGTTTCCTGATCTAAAGGTTTTAAAGTTTTTCAGTACTGGTCTATTTTTTTCCTTTGTTTCTCTATTTTCCTTTTAGTAAGCCTTCATTTAACATTTTTTTTTTAAAAAAGGATACAGTTTCTGTAAGTGGATCCAAGTTACTGAAAGAAATGAGGAAAGACAGTAGTAAGCAGTGTTTACAAAACCAGTTTAAATAAGCCCATTAAAACTAAAAATAATATGCACAAGGAAATCAAAACATGCAAAATCCACTTTAAAACCAACTTTAGGGCTCAGAAGGATGGTTTAAATTACCTAATGGCCATATTGCGAAATGATAGTTGCAAAAATGTTATTGTGGTGAGAACTTTTAAGATCTACTCGCTTAGCAATTTTTAAGTATGCAATACAGTATCATTAGTTATACTCACCATACTATCCATTATATACCCATGACTTATTTTATAACTGGAAGTTTTGTACCTTTTAACCCTTTTCACCCATTTCACATGAATAAACGTTTTTAAAAATTTGTATGTAACCACAAAAGACCCCAAATAGCCAAAGTAATCCTGTGACAAATTAACAAAGCTGAAAGTATCACACTTTCTGACTTCAAACAATACTATGAAACTACAATAATCAAAATAGTATGGTATGTGCAGAAACACAGATACATAGACCAATGGAAGAGAACTGAGAGCCCAGAAATAGACCCAGACACACACACACACACACACACACACACACACACATGTCATAGCGACTGCTCGTTCCGCCACTGGGCTGAAACCGGTTCTCCCAACATCCCCCTAGAGGTCCTGGATTGCGAAAGGGCACAGGCCAGGCCAAGCGACCCCACCAGTGCACGATTGGGGTTGGGGAAGGACGCAGGAGGTTGCCCAGCTGGGGAGGGATGGTGGGAGGGCTCCAGGCCATGTCCAGCCCATCTTGCTGAGTCCCAATCAGCCGGACCCCAGCAGCAAGCTAACCTACCGGTCGGTGCGTCTACCCCCAGTAGTCAGTACACGACATAGCGACTGGTCGAGTGGTCGATTGTATGCCCCCTGGGGGTCAGTGCATGTCATAGCAAGTGGCTGAGCAGCCTTAGCATATCATTAGCATATTATGCTTTGATTGGTTGAACAGCTGACTGGATGGCCGGACACTTAGCATATTAGGCTTTTATTATACACACACACACACACACACACACAGGCAACTAATTTTTGACAAAGGAGCCAAGAATATACAATGGAAAAAGAAATGGTGTTGGGAAAACTGGACAGCCATATGCAAAGGAATGAAAGAAACTAAACTATCCTATACCATACACAAAATTAAAATGGATTAAAGATCTGAATGTAATACCTGAAATAATAAAATACATAGAAGAATACATAGGCACTAAATTTATGGACATTAATCTCAGAAATGTTTTTCTAAATTTGATCCCAAATGCAAGTGAAATAAAGCAGAAAGAAATTAATGGGACTACATCAAACTAAAAACTTCTGCAAAGCAAAAGAAACCAACCACATGGGAGAAGACATGAAGAACTTGTAAAGCTCAACAAAAAAAAGACAATCAATAAAAAATGGGCAGAGGACCTGAACAGACACTTTTCCCAGGAAGACAGACATATAACTAGTTATTAGAGAAAGGCAAATTAAAACCACAATGAGATATCACCTCACACCTGTAAGAATGCCTGTTATAAAAAAGACAAAAAATATATGTTGGATGATATAGAGAAAAGGAAACTATTGTATACTGTAGGTGGGAAGGTAAATTAGTACAGCTACTATAGAAAACAAAAAAAAATCCTCAAAAAAACTAAGAATAGAAATATCAAATGATCCAGCAATTATTCTTCTGGGTATTTATCCAAAAAATATAAAAATACTTCTGCATTAAGACATATGTGCCTCTATTTTCAATGCAGCATTATTTACAATAGCTAAGACATGAAAACAACCTAAGTATCCACTGATGAATGATTGGACAAAGGTGATGTGGTATATATGTAAAATGGAATACTATTCATCTTAAAGAAATGAAATACTGCCATTTGTGACAACCTAGATGAACTCTTGAGAGTATTATGCTAAATGAAGTAAGAATATCACAGATACAGATAACAGAATGGTGGTTATCAGGAGAAGTGGGATGGGGTGATGAAGTGGATAAAGGGGATGAAACATATGGTTAACAGAAGGAAACTAGACTTCAGATGGGGAGCACCCCATAGAATACACAGGTGTCAAATGCTGTACACCTGAAAGTTATTAACCATGTTACCCCAATAAATTTAATTTTTTTTAAAGTAAAATCAAGTTAAAATGAACACCAAAGCCTAAAAGTAGAAAAGCGGTCTTTCAGGCATGATCAGTCCCTCTCTTGGTGGGAGGGTGAATAAAAACACTGACCACTTTGGTTTTGCTGCTGTGTAGAAAGGCCCTTGTTATAAATATGAACACTGCTTATGGGAAAGGGAGAGTAATACCAACTGCCTGTTATGGGCTGACACTGTGCTCAGCACTTTCTCTGAAAGGCAACAATGAACTTTTTCATTAAAAACCATCAATTAGCCGAAACCGGTTTGGCTCAGTGGATAGAGCATTGGCCTGCGGACTGAAGGGTCCCAGGTTCGATTCCGGTCAAGGGCATGTACCTGGGTTGCGGGCACATCCCCAGGAGGTGTGCAGGAGGCAGCTGATCGATGTTTCTCTCTCATCGATGTTTCTGACTCTCTCTCTCTCTCTCTCTCCCTTCCTCTCTGTAAAAAATCAATAAAATATATTTTTTTTTAAAAAACCATCAATTAGAAGACAGACATTTATTATACTGATAATAGACTTAATGATCAAATTACCAGAGCAATAAATTTTTAAAAGCCATTTTTCTTGTATTTTTTTGTATGAACTTGCCAATATCATTAACACAGAGAGAGAACTGTAAAGTAGGAAGAAAGTGATGTTCAGTTGTGGTGTTGCCTGAACTAGCAGTGTGAAGGCAAGTACAATCGGCCAAACTCTAGGGACTAGGGTGGTGTTGCTTTGGGAGCGTCCACACTTACATTCTTCATATATAATTATATTGCTAAAGATAAATTATTTCACCATTTATTATCAATAATGCATTTCCCCAGACCTACCATAAAGTTGTGTGATATATTTGAAAAAAATAAAAGGTGGTGATAAGAATGGCATTGTTTTAACAATTTTACCGATCTTTTTAATGTCTGGCCTAATAGAAGACAGGATTCTCTTATCTGTCTGTTATACTTGCTGTTGTAAGATCACACATCTGGAAAACTCCACTATGCACCTGTGAGAGAATGAGTGTGCAAAAGGCAAAAAAAACAGCTTAGTGTTATCATGAAAGTAGCTCTGACCTTGCAGAGCCCCAAAACAATCTTGCGGGGCCCCGGTGCACACCTGGAGATCACTTGCTCTAACACATTCTCTCCTCTTGCTTCAACTCTCCAACAGGCCACCCCCCTCCTGGTTCTCAGCTGCTTCCTATTTCACAAAGAAAATACAACAGCAAGAAAAAAGCTTCAGCAAGCTCCCTCCACTGAACTCTTACTCTACTTGTTCTCCTGTGACCATGCTTAGAGTTCTGTTAAGCAGACCCCACTACCTCGCACTTCCCCGGACCCTGCTCCTGCAATTCCCCACTCCTTTTGGAAGAAGTGTACAAACCTACTTCACAATTAGCCACCAGCAGCTCTTGACCGAGTCCCCCACTCCCTCCACCTGAAGTACCCCCCTTGCTCAGCTTCTACAATCCCACCATCAGGTTTTCCTCCCTCCGCCCTGGGCCACTAGGTCTGCACTCATAACACTTGATGCCCTAGGGCACCATCCTTTTTCTATCTACACTCACTCCAGCACTTACATCACTAGCCTCCTGGTTTCAATATCATCTACAGAGTGTTAACCCCCAAATTTCTATCTTTAGACCAAATCTAAACTTGAGACTTGCATGCCCAGCTGCCTGAGTTCTCCACCTGGTATCTCAGTGCACTTGACAGAGAATCCCAAGTCCTATGATGGCCCCTCCAAGATGTAGCCCTTTGCCTGTGACCGCGTCCCCTCACCCTCCCACTCACTCTGCTCCAGCCACACTGGACCCGTCTGTCTGAAAGGTATCTGTGCACTTACTATTCTCTCTGCTCGAAAGTTCCCCGGACCCTAACACCCACGTGACTCACCACCTCTCCCCTAGGTATTTCTCAGGGACACCTTCCCTAACATGCTACCTAAAGCTGAATCCTCACTCACCTATTTCCCTTTACTGCTCTCATACCTCCTCAGTACTGAACACTAAGTTCTGCATGTATTTTCTTATTTTGTTTTCCCCTCTAAAATGTAAATTCCCTAAAGATAGTATTTTATCCTGTTTCATTCACTAGTATGGTGCCATAAGTAGGTATACAGATAATTTTCTAAGGATAAATTATTTGTTAAGTTAATTCGAATGTTTCTACATCCACTGCTTCTTTCAGTTCTTCCTGCAACACCTAATCCTGTGATTCTCAGAGTTCTCTACCCAAGTGCCGTAATCAAAGTGACAAAGAGGAGAAAATGGGAAGAGGAGCTCCTCTAGTGACATACAATGAAAGGCCATATTAAACTGAATGATTCTTTAATGTCTTATTGCACATCTCATGCTTATTTATAACAATGAACTTTTTTATTAAAACCCAATCAGGAGACATTTATTATATTAATAATAGACTTAACGATCAAATTACTAGAGCAATAAATTTTGTAAAATGGAATACTATTCCTCTTAAAGAAATGAAATACTGCCATTTGTGACAACCTAGATGAACTCTTGAGAATATTACGCTAAATGAAATAAAAGTCAGAATATCACAGATATAGATAACAGAATGATGGTTATCAGAGGATAACCATCCCTTCTCCTCACCTCATCTTCACAGAAAACAGTGTGGTCCCTTCCCAGATTTTCAGTTAAAACTGATTCTCCAAAAGGCGTTGCCTTTGCTATTTTTGAAGTTTCAAGGCACACTGTCACCTCCCAAGCCTGAACCACCCAAACCCACGCCTTTGTTGAGCTGTCACTTCTGGGCCATTGCCAAGCCCTCCTATATGGCTTACCTGCCTGGTACACCTCCTCTACTCACC